TCTGTTTGTCGGTTTCGTTTCTGTCATGGATAAGTCGTTTGTAAGGCGCCGGTAGTTGTTGACATCTTTTAAGAGGCGTTTGTTCTAGGTTAGTGTGCCAGCTTTCCAGAGTCAGTCGTTGAAAATAGTTTGAACTCAGAAGTGTAGGTTAAGCACTGAGCAGAGTCCCAGTCGATGTCGTGGTTTGTCAGTTGATAATGTACAGCAATGTGATTGTTGGCATCACATTCTCAAAATCACAAAAAAATGTTTTGTATCATTTATCAATTCATTCATTTTATCTGACCGCAAAGCAAAATTTAAAATGTCTAGAGAACCAATCAGAATTCTCATTTTCTTCTTGATCCAGGTTGGTGTATAGTATAAAGATAATATGCCTACGAAAGTGTTCTGTTTAAGAAATAAAAAAACATACATGTACCGTGTTTCTATCACAGAATAGATAGTGGGTAGCGGAGCCAATCAGAGAACGGCATTCGTGATAGAACTCCAGTAGATTTATAATCTAATTGTTTAATAGAAACACGATTTTTCTTAGGGCTAGTATTTTCTTAGGGCTGTTTTCTAAACTTGGATATTACTCAAATATTCTCTTTGTTCCTTAGCAGGATAGAATTGTAGACTCTTTTGACCTTTAATGCACTTTCCTGGTCGTCTCGATTCGCCTCGTTACCCACTAAAAGTGTATGTTTTCTTCCTTTTCTGTCCGTCTAGATAATTTGTTTGTAGTGTTTCTTTGATTTTTATTGTAAAACTTTGAACTCGCATCAAGAAGCAACGAAACAGTATGACTTCTGTCCTGTCCTGCCTTATGTGTCCTATGGTAAGCAACTGAATTAATCGTATCCTTATGCGAATTTGCGGCAGAAGGAAAAATATCATGGAATAAAGAAACCGTGTTAATTCTCACCTGATCAATGAAAATTTTGGCTTGGTCTGCACAACCTAGAAAGCGCACGTGACTAGCTACGTCATCAACATTCCATGCCATGATTCGCTGTCGTTCACTGGACACTGCCCCATTGTTATTGTGGTTGATGGAAGACTTGAGTTCGCTTAGAAATGCTGATGGAAATCCACTACCGAGAGGCCATGGGAACGAGAATGGAGATACGTGTTGAATAGCTTTGTCGGCGACTGAAATGAAAGAATTTTAAAGTTGATTTAATCTTATTTTCCATCTCTGTGTTCAAAATATCAAATCTCCTTACTGGTCGTTATACATTTCTTTTGACGATGGTGCTGAGAAACTGATGATGCAGCGGTTTTTTTTGTAGGGGGGGGGGGGGGGGGGGGCTGGCAAGGTATACCTTAGTGTTGAGAGCAGGAGGAGTGAAAACGTACAAGATATTGCTGAAAGGTACTTTATCTTTCCTTGATCGGCGTTCTTGCATGGTCTATGCGTTACGATTGGGAAGCATCTACGATTCTCCTGCTATTGGCTTGAAAGATCGTGACCTTTTATAATGCAAGTGTGAGCTACCCCCTACTTCGTGCCAGTGTCACCTACACAAACAAGTATTCTCGAAACAACGCCGTAACTTATTAAAGGTTAAAAAAGGAATTTAAAACAGAGCTAGCTTTCTTAGCTCTGTTTTAAACTCCTTTTTTTGAATTTTAATCATGGACACAGATCGCTCCGACAGTTTTATTTATTCCGTAACTGATTGTTTTAATCTTATTACTCGTTGGCTTAAAATGTACTGATGGGTTTTGTAATAAGAAATAAGTTGCTGATCGTACGAATGTTTCCAAAATTCACACATTTTTTTTATCCAACAATGTCTAGAAAATATTTAACGCTTTAGTTTTAAAATTTTTTAAGAAACTTTTCTCGTATAATTTACCCCTGTGTCTTGAACTGTCAGGCTTTTCTTCTTTGATGCCGACTCGCCTGAAAAAGAACAGCAACGTGACATAAACAGCAATTCAATCAATAACCAAACGTTTTTGGATCTTTAAATCAGCAACGATTTGGAAAGGAAGTACTTGGGCCGTTGGCTTTCTCGCAGTACGTATGCGCCTTACCATGGCTAACGCTCGTTTCGTCAGCTTTAAGGATTCCCCTTTGATCTCAAGTTATGCAATTAACAACAAAACGCCAGTAAATGCATTTGTATCTGTATTTCTCATTTGCAAATTTACAAGCCCTATCAACGAGAATGGAAGTAAATCCAGAGATTAAGGGTTCAACGTGATCATAAAAGATGGACCACCGATTTCCTTAGAACATCTCAATTTCCAGTTAATTAAAGACTGCAACAATAAACATATTATAACATACATGCTACACTAATCATTTAGCTGAAATATCCTATTGTAATGCTGCTCTCAGCCAATCAGATTTCATCATTTCTCCAGTTATGAAGACAAACAAAAAATCAAGAAAAAGTGAAAGAGTTTCCAAAGTAGTCGATCATAAAGTGGCAAATTTATCCAGCCGTTGGTTTCCAGCAGAAAACGTTCCTTACCTGGAGGTACTACGTGTTCCAATGATGCCGGATTCTGTGCTGCTAGCGGAGAAACCCTTGTTTGAGGGACTGTAGAGTGAGGCACTTTTTTTTGAGGTGGGTGATTTTGCTAAATGCTTGACTCTGGGACAACCTGACAATCTGTGGAAAGAGAAAAACAGCGAGAATACTTCAGTAATTTGGCGCCGGTCGAACGTAAATGTTCTCAACAGTTACTGGGCTTCAAATTGAAATTGAAACTGAAATTTTGTGTTTTGAGGTTTATTTAGTTTGATACGGAAGTCTTTTTCATTACGTCATAACAGAAAGAGGAGCGCAATTTTAATTTATCGCCAGAAATTCAGAACTTAACCCGAGACATTTTCACAACTTCCTGATAAAACTGAGCTCTGAAGAAACAGTGCGATAAAATACTTATATACTGAGTTGGTTTGAGCTGTAGAGGAAATATTTGGCTCTCATTCCACACCGACTTCCCATTCGGCTATCCCACGCAACCAAGAACCGGTTTGAAGCAAACTACTTTAACAAATTTATTGCTTTTAGGAGATTTGGCCTTCTTTGCTCGGAACAACTGGCATTGAGCAGACTAGTGCAAGTCGACAGTGTTATTTTACATCAACTAATCAAAAAGTATGGGCAGTACATACGTGTAATGTGTCTTCCATTGTCCACTCACGTGACCGGACCCGTCACAGCCCGGTGTTGGGCAGGTTCCATCTCCTTGAGTAGAAGTAATTTCTTCTATGATCAAAATATTGACCGTCAGTCGATAATTTGCCTTATGATGTTCTGTTAGCTCGTTTCTCTAGGAGCCGAGACAGATTATTACCAAACAACATTGCAATACGACGCTAGCATAATGAATGAACTTGCTCGTTTCTAAAATGGTCATTTGTTAAGGCTAATATGAAAATCATATTAACACTAATGTCGCAAATTTTCTACAATTCTAACTATTCTCCTCGTTATATCCAACCGATCTCCCGTTAGAAAAAGAAAAGGCCAAGAAAACGTCATCACAATTTCAACAATCTGTACTTTAGCTTGAAAAACAACAACACTTGTCTTGTAAGATGTCTCTACACACATTCGCTACGTAATGTGTTTCAATTTTCAGACTGAAACTGAATTTTCCCTAAAATTTGATATTATAAATCAGGATTCCTTTATTCTGTGCGGGTTCAACAAGCCAGTTAAATTTGGGTTAAAGTGCCCATAACGTCAATTTTTTTGCTTTCTCATCAGATTCTTCATAACACCCAGTTAACTTTCTCGAAAAAAAATTTTCGATTTGCATAAAACGCAATTTTCTTATAATTTTTTTAAGACGTGCAAATTTGGCGCCATTTTGGTCCACCATTCGCACCAGTCTTCCTCGTTTTGGAGTGAGTCGTGACGTAGGTTCAGGAACACGTGATTTGGCTCGTGACTTATCTGACTTGAAAACAAGTGGAAATTTTGCTTCAGAGTTGTCTACATTTAGTTGAAAATGCCGGAAAGATGCGTTGCCGCTCTTTGTAACACACGACGTATGTATTTATATGCACTAAAGGTCAAGTGAGGTTCCTGAACCTACGTCACAGGCAGCAGTCACGTGGCCATTTTGAGCACGTTATTCTTCTGATCAGCGGCAGGGCTCGACCGCAAGAAAATAGAATTTTGAACTTTGTAAAAATTCGTAAAAAAAAATGCGTTTTATCCAAATCGAAAAATTTTTTCGCAGAAGTTCATTAGGTGAAATTTAGAATTAGATAAGCGAAATTTTTTTTGACATTATGGGCACTTTTAATGAACGTTATAAATATCGAATAAAACTACGAAGAGCTAAAACTAACATGCTCGCCTAGTTTTTCGTGTTGACACCGCCAGTTGTGACGTCATCCTGACGTCATTAAGATAAGCAATTTTAATTAGCAACTCTCCCCGTAAAAATCTCGTGAATTAGACAGATGTCTAGACAGTTTTGTGGTGGATTGCCAATTGGAAAACATTTTTCAATCGGTCGGTCAATAAGCAGTCAGTAGCTCATTACCTTTTATAGCTTTCACAACAGCTAACTTCTGCTTGGAGGCATAAGACCAATCCGATTCCTCTGTCATAGAGTTGTTGGAAAGTCGATCCACAAGACACGAGTCTTTATTCAAATTCTGCAATGAGTAAGGACATCCAAACGTGCTGTGATGGGTCGAGTACTTCGCTCCCTTCACATGACCAATGCCCTTACATCCGGGAGTTGGACAGGCGGCGCTCGAGATCTTCTCGCGCGTAGCTGAGATATAAGAAGAAGTTTGTATGAACAATTAAGAGTGATTGTAGTCAGCTTTGAGTGGAATTCAAAGTAAATCATTCGTGTAGACTATAAAGAGGTTCATTATTATTATATTTGGCGGCAACCTGGCTTTTTTGTAGGAACACTGCTATGCAGTTGAAGCTGTGATAATTTTCAATTAAGAAATGCCCCTCAAAGATTTGTGTATAGTCACCAAGTACTTCGCAAAACGTTCGTGGCCACACAAGCACATCCTGACTCGCTAATTGGCTCAGGGTACTTTTCAGTTTTCGAGTTCTGGTCTCCATTGCAGGCAATGCATTAATCGGTGTAATCGATTTCACATAATCCATGCATTTTCTTTTGCTTCTTATATTACATGAAACTGATTAAACCAAAATAGATTACAATGTAGGATTCTAAAGGATCAATATTTTCTGAAGGTCTTTTAGAGTTTTAACAGGCTCCTGATTATCTACGATACGAACCCCACCACATACGAAATAAGAAACAGTTCGTCCGTGGCCGAACACCTACGAGACCACTCTTAAAGATACTCTTTGCTGAAATTTGTAGTGAGACAAAACACTTACTGAGAGGCGTCTCGAGGGGATGACCTGATTTTTCGCACCATCCCACAGGGTATAGATCTAAGGAGTCAGCCTCAAACCAGTCATCATAGATATCATCCCATCCGTCAAAATGAATTCGTAATCGGTATTCGTTCACTTCAGCTAGGGTAGCAGCTCGTACCAGGGAAGGATTTCTCTTGTCAACTGCTTCAAGCTTCTGGTTCACTTTGAAACCTGGCGGTGGCCGCTGAAATGAAGAAAATAGAGGAGCGGGTCAATTAGCAAAATATACCAACATAGATGAGATTCACTCCGTACGAAACGAACCATCTATAATCAGTTTCAGGTTCTTTCAAGTATGGATTTACGTTCTTCACGTTTTCTTCAGGCAAACGAAATTTCGAACAACTAAAATTACTTAACACAGAAGCAGACCGGCAAAATGCAGGACCGGAAAGGAGTGATCACTTCACAATTGATTTCTTTTACATCTTTTGCCAACGTTTTTAACCAATCAAAGAGCACCAATCAAACAAGCATTTTCTATCAAATAGGATAGCGGTTTAAGCCTTAGCTATAGCGGAACAAGAAAAAGTTAGTTCTGTTCCACTAATAAGAATAATGCACATTTTCTGCTTATACTGGAACACTTGGGGAACTTTCAGCTCTAAATTAGTCAGTAATAACAATTAGCTTATCCACTTGGCAAACCGTTTACTGGGGTGATTTGAATGGTATTTTCTATGTAAACATTTGGTAACGTTCTGGACAAACGGATTAAAAACTCTGTTATGCTCACCGTTTTAAAGAAATGAGAAGGTGCAGCAATAGTTCCAGTAGATTTCAAGTATTCTTCCCAACGGAAAGTGTGAAATTCATCATCTAAAAGTGATTTGAAAAAAAGTCTTTTAACAAACTAAATGGCAAAGGTCGCTTTACTTGATAATCTTTTCTTAGGAACTTTATTACGACTATGATCTGTTTTTTTTTTCACGATAACGATGGTGCTGATCATGGTATTTGTGTTGCTACTTACATGTGCTGACAAAAACCCTCGCCCTGCAAGGCCTGTGCCTGTGCATTCTGGTTGTAAAGCCAGCATCTTAACCTTGTAAAGGAGACATTCCCTTTGCTTGTCACAACTTCTTCTCTCACTAAGTAAAGCCTTTATTTATGGAGGCTTAACACATAATAGTGAACATTCACTAGATTGCGTGACACCAAAGGACGTATTACTTTACTTTCTGATCAAGTTCCCACAAAACTAAAACCGCGCATTTTGCTTATATCTGTTTTGTAACTGAGACACTCCCTTAATTTGCCACGCAATCTCTCGTCGCAAATCGGGAAGAGGGTAGATAAAAGAGAGTTTGCGCACTGCGTTACCGGCCTTCCCTCCAACAGCTGTAACTTAATTTCAAGACTTACCGTTGGGTGGGTTGAGATTCCTGTTATTTTCCCTACACCACCCTACAGGACGGATGTAGGGACAATCATCCCCACACCAGTAGTCATAGGAGTCGTCCCACTCGTCAAAGTGAACTAGGAAGTGGTTGCCAATCACATTTGTTACTGTGGCAACGCAGATTAGATCCGGATTCATTCTGTCCACCGCCTCTAGTTTCATACCAGTTTTAAAACCATGCTTCGTTGGTGAAATCTGGGAAAAGCAACGGAAGAGGTATTCAGGAAGTCTTCAAACCACACACGGTGGGTTTCGTCAAGAGACGAAAAGAAATAAAGAACTTTCTGTAAAAGAGAAATCGAGTGAGCTTTGAGGAACTGACGTAATAACACTTATACTGACTTTAGTAGGAATGGAATCTGGACTTAACCTCAATCCCAGTCTCTCTCTCTTTTACCTCAATGAGGGAGGCAAAGGAGAGAGAACCTGGAAACGAGGTTGATTTGCGCTAAGTGTGTATTGTTCGTCATCAGCTCAACTTAAAAAACTGTGGAACCTCGAGGTAACGAGGCAAAATATGTTCGCTATACATGACGAGGTTTCGTTGTATCGAGGTTCTTTTCCATATATTTTACTATTACTGGGGCCAGGAAAACCGTTCGTTATACCGAGGACTTCGTTATACAGATGTTCGTTAAATCGAGGTTCCTCTGCAGGTGTGCTCAACTTTTAGGAATAAGTTACTTATTTATTTATTTATTTATTTATTTATTTATTTATTTATTTATTACAATTCAATGGCGTACTTATTCAACTTACTGGCTTGAACAGGTGTTCTGGTGCGGCTTTAGCTTCGCACACCTTCAAGTACTTGTCCCAGTTGAACTCCGAAAATGACATGCCTTAAAACAACAGAAAACAAGGACAGAAATGAGTAATCTGTACCCGGCCATCAGTACCTAATGGACATGATGGGCTAGCCATATCCCATACAGAATTGCGTATGCCGTTTCTAAGACACGATCGCTGCCCAGAAAAACGCCAGACAAACTCGTGACCATTCTTCCATTCACTCGTTTTCGGTTGATGAAAGATTAGAAACCAGTGAAACAGGGCGCGTGAAGACTCATGGGACAGTCATAGACAGTCACGGCGACGGTATATGTGAATGACTGACTGCTACTTTTGTATCGAAAAGAAATGCAGACACCAAAGACACAAGATTGTGTTCTTCTCTTACTTCTTGGCGGATGAAGTTTCTGGCCATTCCTTTCACACCATCCCACGTGGAATATAAAGGGTGAATCAGCACAGGTCCAGAAGTCGTAACTCTCCGACCAGCCATCAAAGTGAAGCCTCAAACGCGTTCCTTTTACTCTGACTATGGTGCAAACACAAATGTATGAAGGATGCTTCGGGTCAATGGCCTCTAGTTTCATGTCCTTCTCGAATCCACACGTCGATTTACTTTCCAAATCAAGAAATGGGTTCTCCTACAATAACGAAAAGAAAAAAAAACAAAACATCACATCATTGCTTTCGTGCATTTCTTAAAGGGTCTTGAAGGTACAGCAAAAATGAAGATATAGAAGGTTGCGACGGCAAAGGATATCATCAAATACCGCAAACTGCTACTTATAAGCCCTGGGCTTATCAACTTCGTAAGGTGTTTTTAAATGGGCGTATAAACGAAGGGGCTCACATCCGGAGGGGGGGAGGGGGCATAAGCGGAATAAAAAAAGTTTCGAAATTAGCTACTGCGGTGTTGATCCCAATATGTTTTTCATATACTGGTTTTTAATTTAGCTTTAACTCATTACAATAAATCGCTTTCATTTCACTTTACCAGAGGAGGGCTTATATCCGAGGGGGCTTGTTCACAGGTCAATGGGCCCGTAACGGGGAGGTTATTATAAGCGGTAGTGTACGGTAGTACACCAGAAACAAACCTGTTTAAAGACGCCGACTGGAACAGCTTTCGAACTACAAGCTGCTAAATAATCCGTCCATACAAACGGTTTGGTTGAATCATACGGAACAAGAAACAGAAAAAAAAAAAAAAAAAAAACATTTTTTAAAACCACACATGCCATCACGCTGGGGGAGCTGGATATGGGTATTAGCAGGCCGAGGGTTTGAAAAGTCAAAACTATGACAAAATCCATTTTGTGTAAAATTTCGAACAAGCATAACTACACAAACTGAAACAGCTTTTAATTTTCGCGTGAATGGTCAGATACTAGGGTCCAAGGATGAGGCACGTTCACATGGACTTATGGGAACACAATTAACAACTAAACAACCAATCGGAAACTGTCTCTGCGGCAACAATAATTCGGGAAGTCACGTAACCCTTTTCCTAATCCGCGTGACAACCGAAATAACAACTACGAAAATTTCAACCGATCAGACCGCGCGTTATAAAATGTTTTCTTGAGAAAAAAAGATAAAGATCGGTAGTTTAAGGGTGTAAGACTATCATCCATCACTCACCATCTTCACCCTTCATGAGATCCGTTGCATTTAAAGAAGCCTTCTTAAACTTGAGCTTGTTTTTCATGCGCTTTCTTTTCACTTTAAATGTTCGTCGAGCTCCCAACATTTCTGGCTCATTTTCTTGGGATGGCGATGTTTCCTGCAAAAAGAATCAGAAACTAGAATTATTTTTTGTACCACAGGGCATAAAAGACTTAAATCGGAGAACTGTTTTACTTTTCTGAAATAATCCGTCCCGTCCCGTCCCGTGCCTCCCCCTCCCTCCTTCGTTAGCCGCTCCCGCGCTCACTTATTCCTTCCCTCCTTCGTTTAAAGTCTTCGCAGATCCAAATAAATTCTGCGAATCACAAATTTTGTGTATTTCTTCTCTGAAATAAGGATATTTATAATCCATCAAGTATTTTCGCACGCGTGCGATTGGTCTAAACATGTCGCGTGGCTGAATATCCCCCAACTAAAACTGCGCGTGTTGCCAAAAATATTTGAAGGATAATTAACACAATAGCGTCCATTTGGCGCGAAAATATGCTCACATATTTGCCCTTGAACATTATTTGTTCCTCAAAGAACACAGTCTTCCTTAAGCTACGCTCTGGGAAAACTCTTCCCTTCTTGGAACAGATAATGTACGCGGATAAATACCTGCGAATATTTTCGCGCCAAATTTAGGCTATTGGTTATGCATGGAGTTGTCTTTGTCCTGTCTCGAACGAGATTTGATTAGTTCTCAGTAAAACGGATACATTCTTTACTCCGAACAATCGCCACTCACACCCTCTGTGTTCCTTACATGGGGTAATTCTGTATAAGGCGACAGTTCACGGTTCTTTGCTTTGTCTTTCTTCTTCCTTTTCACAATCTTGCCGTCCACTGTTTTAGCATGGCGGACGTATTCTCTTCCTTTATTTCTCCTTCCAGTGTAAACACCAACACACGACAAACTGCAAAATCTGCCGGAAGCGGAGAATTCATGAGGCAGGCCATACTTGCCGCAGACTTCACAACAAAGTATACCACTGGTATCGGGAGACGCTGCTGACGGGTCTGTGCTGTTTCTTGAACTTGCTGTTATAAAAAAGACACGAAAATTTAGAAGTAAACTTTCTTTAATCTACTGGTCGTAATACATTATATGCAAAAAGATTTCGGACGATTTTAATTTCGGACAAAGAAAGCGTCCGAAAATAAAGCCGTCCGAAACTTTTTAAGCGTCCGATATATTTACACTACAGTATTTAACTGTTAAGTAGCACCAAAGCTCTTAATTTCCCTTTTTTCCGCCTGGTGGAGACACTAGTTGAAGTACATAACGGCATGTTAGAAGTTGTGCCATTTTCTCGACGGTGTTTCTGTAAAACCTTGAGGTAGCAGTAAAACTATTATTTTCACAGCTGTTGTTTCAGCCTAATTCGTGTTTTCCAGTTTACGCGTAAATTTACTTTAGCTATGCTTATGCAAAGTGTCCGAAGGTTTTGTCTGAAATTCGATAAAAAGTGTCCGAAAATTGAACGTCCGAAATATAACGTCCAAAATTTTAACGTGCGAAATTTTTTGCAAGTAATATATGGAAATGGTTGGTCGGAGCGGTTTTCTACATGATTGAAAATAATAGCCTCTTACTAACTGAGCGCGAGGACCTTACCGGAAATGTTGGCCCGAGGTCGTGGCACTTCGGATCCGTACAGAAAAGACCGATATTCCCCAGTATGGCTCGAGCAAGCTCCATGTAGGTTAGGTTGGTAAGTAGTTTATTGTATGATACTCGGGCCTTGAATTTGCCGGCTTTCTATGGAAACGGTCTGTCTGGCAAAATCCCGACCAGGAAAGAACCAATCACAACGCTCGAATTTACCTCAAGACTACCTTGTCTTATAACAATCAGAAGTATTTTCTCTTGCTCGAGTCTCACTATTTTCCAAAATCTAGTGGAAATGACATGTTCTGTGCAACCAGTGAATGAGAAAAAGAAAAAGGTTCAAAACAAAATCCGGTGGCGTCTGGCGTAATTGTTTTCTCTTCGAAACTGAAGATCCAATAGCTGGTTTTCACATGACGTCACCAAAATTCGAACTACAAAACTAGTTATCTTCCTGAGATTTTACTTAAATGATGTATTAGAGCAGCTGAAAACTAATATTCATAAAAGTTTTCGCTCCGAATGGGTTCTTGGTTTTGTGATACACTACGCTTGAATTTCTAAGCTTTTGCGTAAGGCGGCATTTACATGACGGCCTAGAGAGCTGTCATGATGGTTCAAAAAGTGACTTATTTTGGGGAACTTNAAACAATGAGCGCTGTATTTCTTTGACATTAAAAACTCGTAACGTTTTTGCTGCGAAAACAGAAGGAAATCCCGATACGGAATATATGAGTTTTATTTTCGAGTGGTAAAAACAATATTTTACGTACGAGCACAGCAAACCGTCGTGAAAAAAATTAAGGAGAATTGACGTCATAAATATCGTCATTAGCGAGGACAGGGAAAATACGTCACTCGGGTCCCGGATGTGCTTCGTATGAATTTTACGAGTGGTTTATTTTCCGGTAAAACACTCGTGTCTATATAACTTTTTCTTTAGTAAGTCGAATATACAAATAGAAACAATTTCTCTTCACTGTTGTCATAGAACTACTCCAAGGCACCCAAGAGAGAGCTTTCATTTCAAGTGAGCACGTTTTTTTCTTCCCATTGCTGAGTTCTGCTTTGTTACGGATAGGTAACAAAAATTAAGAATTAATAACTATTCTCTTAAAGGAAAAACGTTTCCCTATTTCGTCACCTTTACTTTTCTTTCCTTTTTTGTTGTTTTCCCCGTCATCAGTGCTTGTTTTGCGATGTTGTGTTGGTGTGCTCCACTCGTATTCCCCTTTATCTGTTTCCACCGTACTGATGATTTCCAGAGTACCGAACTCGGTCAGTTTGAACTTAAGATTGCTGCCTATCAAGACAATCCATTCAAACAATCATTAAAGCTAAACCGTGAAACAACACCAACTCGTCCCCAGGGCCTTCTATGGTATTCAAATCCCAATGGCCGGCTTTCACGTGACGTCATAATTTTCCAGAGTCAAAAATTACCAATCCTTCTGAAGTTTTAGGTTCATCAGAGGTAAGAACCCCTAAGAACTTGACGTTTTATAACGTTAAAGCTCGACAGAGTACTTTGTTTTTTAATAGAAGACGTTTGAATTCCCAAGTTAATGCGTTGCGTGACATAACCATTAAAATGGTGGCCCGAGGGGCTCTCGCGCAGGGCAAAAAAAGATTTTAAAATTAATTTGGATGAAGCAATTCTCCAGATAACGCGCGAATGAAAAACGGCACAGACCTAAATCTTTGTGAGGTTGTCTATACATCAGTCATCTATCATATCCCAGGTTCTTGACTTAATTTATTGAAAGGTAACGATTTTTATTTTTGATGGCGTGACAGTACATCTAAAGAAGGGTGTTACCTGGTAAGGTGGCAATTCCATCTTTCCAGTCTAAAGCTCCAAACGGATCGTCACCATCATCTGCAGTTTTCTTTTCAGTGGTTGTCTTCTTCACGTCGTTACTGCTGTCACTCGTCACTGGCTGGTCTGTCACAGTACTACTAAGTTCCACAGTATTTGTCGATGAGGCCGTCCTTTCCTCGGTGGCACCGGAAGTGATCATTTGTGGTGGGGAGGAACTGCTTACTTCCGGGAAAGGCTCAGATCTTATGACCAAATTTTCTACGGCAAAAGAATTTTAGTTGTCGTAAATTCGACTTTAATTCTTGCCTGCAAAAAATATCAGCATCAGCTTTGATAATTTGTGAAAGCGATGTCGCGTACGGGTGACGTATGATAACGAATTACAACAGAGCTCGTGAATTCGTAACTAGTCAGAAGATTTGTAATTGAAATTAATCTTGAGTAGGTTTCTGCCTCTATATTAAATGGAAACACAGCAAGGAAAAAGCAGCGCCAAATTTAGCCTGGGCGGTCAAGCTTTTGCTCCTGTAATTTGAGAGACTCGCGAGTCGCGCGACCTTAAGCAGCGAGGAGAATGGGGAGAGTTGCGTGCTTGTGCTCGGCCCATACTCCTCACGGCTTGCATCTGCAATAGTCATGAATCAAGTACATCAACTTTCTTTCATATTGTCTCAAATAGCGTAAGGGATACTTCTTTTCTATCACAAAAAATTCCATACCATTGGAGTATCGATCCTGCTCTCTGCGTTTCGTCTCTTCGTCGCTTTCAGTTTTCTGTTTCTTGGCAGGCGGTCCATAAGCCATTCCTATGAAGGAGTTATTCTGCAAGTCTCCGTTTGCAATGCTGCCATAAATCCACTGTTAAACAAAGAAAGGAATGAAAACACAGTTAGTAACGATTGTCGCTTCAGATTCATCGAATTTGCACATTTGCAGAACCGCACTGGAAAATCGTAACAAATAATGTCTTTTTATCGATAGATGAAAATTTAGCTCTACCGGCAGCTGAGTTCTGCTGTGTTTTGCCAAGCCCGAATAAGAGGTTTCTACAGCGTTACAAACAAAATTATTACTAGAGTTGCAACTCGTTTGTATTAGCTTCTATAACCAGGGGGGTACTCCGTGAATTTGTGGGTAGGGTGCGCTAGTGGGTCTCTCAGATTCTTGCCCTGTACCAAGCGTGTTACCACCCTATTCTGATCTACTAGAGGGAGAAGTAAGGGGGTAAACCGGAATAACACTGGTTAGCCTGAAAAGCACTCCGTTTAGACAAAATAACGCTCAGCTTAGCCTGTTTACGGTAAGTTCTGAATATGTTATTTTAATATTTTAATTTTATTTTTACTTTTATTTTTTTTTATTAATTTATTTATTGTTAGCTCTCGATAATGGTAGTGCTTAACCCCCTACTCAGATTTTAGATCTGCAGTTGCGGCACTTGGGCTGTGCCGGACGTGGGATACTGAAGCGTTGTGTTTTTTAAAGCATCAACTTTTTTTGTTTGTGGGATACTGAAAGCCATTTAAGTTTGCCGATACTAATAAAGCGAAACTATTAATGAAACCGCCGAGTCTCAGTCACTTTTACTCTCTTAAATTGTCCTGCTAATGTACAGCATAGTTTATCTTTATCTTTCCCCTCTTCAATCAGCACTTTTGGCAATGCCCTGTTTTGAACTGAAGCTGAAACTGTACGCCCTATCTTGAAAGTTTTACAGCTGGCTAGTAGCACTGAAAGCGGAAATAATTTTACGAAAAGCAACAAAAATAAACTATTGCCTTCCTCATTTGTTCAGAACATCATTTGAAAAAAACAAACAAACAAAAAAAGAAACAAAGAAAAACGATTTCGAAAATCATACTTTTTTTCCCGTCGATTGTGCGTAATTGCTGGGAAATTTAAGCCCAGACGAGGATTAAATGAGTACAGACGTGAATTGCGTGACGAAAGATATAAATTTTCAGAAATAACAACAGCTTGGATGTCTGTGGGCGAGATTGACCTTTAAAGCGTGTAAATGAAACATAAGTTCAGCTTGCAGATAAAATCATCTTGAATTAGCGACTCGCATATCCACATGTTCAGATAAGCCTGAACAAGAGTACATTTTGTAGAAGTATTTCTAGATCTTGATAAAATAGGAGTTCCTCCCTGTTTTTATAGACACCTTTTGACTATCCGACGCCTAATAAATCTGACGGACCTCAAAAAAAGAGAAAAAAAATTGTTTATCTAATTTTTTTCGAAGCTTTTTTGTTTTATTGTATCTCTCTGTTTTAATTACTCTAGCACGAAAACAGAATATATCAATTAATTTGACAGGCAACATTAATTTTAATGTTCGCCAGAAAAAAAAAAAATCAGTATCATCTCACTGAGGAATAAAATACAGTTTCCTTGTTAAAAAAAGTAATTTTTAGTAATTATTAACGCATTCTAACTGAATATCGATTCCAGACACGATATTTTTAACGAGCGACCAGAACTCTAAAATTGAAGTTGATCAATAGGTTGTTTAAACAACCGGTTGAATTCTAAAGCATGTAGGTGTAGGTGTAGGAAATTGAAAGAAAAAAGGCCGTTTTGGTTAATTGGACATAGACTGAAAGAGAAGGCGGTGTCCGTACTCCGCTTTCTAGACTAGTAACAGAGTGACTGCCAGTGCTTGAAATTATATTATGACGCAAATTACGGACTTTGAACAATTTACCCGTTGGCATGATCAGACGAAAAGAAAAATAAATGACAGCAACGCTTTCAAAGAAACTGCCATAATGCGCGACCCCTGAAACAAGAGGTCGACGTCTTTTGTCCTTGTCATAAGCATCTCGGTGTGAAGTATGAAAACAAATCCGCTTTAGAGAAGAAACGGAAAAGCACTGGTGGTGTTACTTTCGAATTGGTAGAAAGATCGAAACGTACTATGAAAACTGAAAAGAAAACGAACCTTTTGAACTTTCCACATTCAGCGATGGCCGAAGACGCAAAAACAAACAAAAGTAGCTAAGATGGCATTATAATGTCATGAAATCAATTCATAACTTAAAAGCTATTTTTGGAGCCAACCGCGAGGTAGAACGTATTTGTAACAGGAAAATCGAAAAAAGCTTAGTCATATCACTCTCAAACAAAACCTAACGAGATCCATCGAGACGTTAACGTAAATTTCCAACGGAGCAAAGAGCTTTTAAGCGATTAAAATAGCGACTTCCGTCGATGCTTGCCGACTACACGCTTCAACTGTTTCAATGTTTGAATATTCAATAACCTTTGGGTTCACTCTGTTCCGTTTCCGAAAAACGGCCTTTTGCACGTCAAATATCTCGTTGAAATACAAACTGTATGTTGATAAAGGATTGTTAAGATTTTTCCCAGTTGTTACTCGAAGCTGAAATGTTTCTTGCGAAGTTTTAATGCGGAAAAAAACCGAAATGGTTGCGTTGCGGTGCGTGAAATACTTGACCTCGTTTCCATGCGAAGACTTGTTTTGCTTCTTTGGTTCTTCAATTCCATTGTGCTTTGTTTTATCTTCTGTGGACATGTCGCCAGTTTCTGCTCCTTGAAATCTCGTCTATAATAAAGGGAATCAACAGCAAGCGAGTTAGTACGATGTTAATCTCCTTGAAAAACAAACAAGCGCGTAAAAAGAAAAGACCTCGATGAAAACTGAACTGCCGGCCAATCTGGAACTGTGTGCTAATATAGAAAACACAACCCACTTTTCAATTCGCCGGAAAAAAATCGAAATTTCAAACTCGGGGACACGAAACGGGAAGAAAATTTAACACCGCTTAACGTTCATCAAGAGTTTTAAACGTTGTCGAGAGAACTAGCAAGAAAAACTGGAGTTAAGAACTTTACCGTTGTGCAAGGCCGCTCCACGCAGAAATGCAAAAAAATTGTTCATCCGATACGTACGATGTGTCAATCATTTACCAGCGAACAAAAAAAACACGTGATTAAAGTTATTGTTATGCAAACCGCCTGGAATCTTCTAAACGCTGGAGCAATTATTTGAATAATGGTTGAATTTAAATCAAAATAAAATATAGTGAAATACCTGCTCTGATGGACCTTTCAGCTTTTTCCGATGAGACGAGAAAGCGAAAATGTACTTATCACGCAACTGGACTTTTCCAATTTCTCGTGGGTTGAAAACGGGAAGTTGAGCCTGAAATTTAACCTGGGCGACGATTATTCAGATTAAAACAAAACCGCAAAGAAAATAATTTGCAACATTGGACAGAAGATGATAAAACAAATAATTCCGCCCTTAGCTCTTAGCTTCTTTTTTCTTTTTCTTGATGAAACTGGGTTTTCGAATTACAGCTTCAAGCACACGAGCGAAAAAGTTGTCTCTGGTAAAAACCTATTGTATATAGTTTAACGCCATTGCTCAATTGTTTTCCTTTTTTTAGCTAGCGTCTCGAAAAAGAAGAATTTTAATTACTCTAGCCTGTCGTTGAACCTTTGACATTGAAAAATCGACTTCGTTTTCAAGGAAAAACTTCAGTGATAATTCAAGTTTACAATGGTTGCGCGGTTAACAAAAAAGGGTTTTTCTAAGCTGAATACGTCTTCGAGAGAAAGTCTATCAGTGCGAAAAATAAACGCCGACATACCTCCCGCGGCAAAAATCTCGCCGCTAGCTAGCAGGGCCTACTGAGCGTTGAAATAATGATAATTTGTTTTCATTCTCGGGACTTTACTTGTGATTATTTTTGTAAGTGGAATGGCTAGTGGTTTTAACTGCGAAAGACAGTTGACTGTCGCCAGGTAAACATGATCCATTGAAGGTTTTTCTCGCTAGATATGACCTTGGTAAATACGGATAAAACTGTTAAAGAATTCCAAGCCTTCAATATGTTAGGTCAACCGAAAAGTCGATTCGTTTTCGTTCCTCATGAAAAGATTTCAAAAGTTTATAATCGTCGTACTTGAAGCTTTCTATTCGAAATTGAAGGCCGACAGCAACATTACACGTAAGAAAGCGAAAACACGTTGTAAGCGGTTAAGATAATTATGCCAAACTTGAAGAGCTAGAACGAAATGTTCAGTGACAAGAAAAAGTTCCGTGGAATATTCAAATTTGACTGTCTGCCGTAAATATACAAACTATTTCAAATGTTTTGGGTTCACGTGTATTCGCACGATTATGCTCAATGTCGTTTCTGTTATTTGACTTGAAATACATAAAGTCAGTTTCACCCAGGGAAACTGAAAGCAAGGCAAAGAATGTAGGCTGGTTTAAAAGCGCTCAGGGGCTTCAGCATTAGACCCAGTAATGAATTTTAAATTAAAAACAGAATAGTGAATCAGTGAACGAAGAATAAAATGCCACGATTCCTGATGGATCAATTGTTTTACAGATATTAAATCGTTTCTGAGCCGCTTTCCAATATTACCACAATATGTCGGGAGCACTCCTTGTTTCTGATACCTCGCTTCCTTTTCGTAACGGTTTTGATTGATGGTATTGAAAGAACAAGGGAAACAGTAGCAACATTGCCAGTTTTCTAACAAATAAGCTTTATTATACAGCAGAGTTTTTCGTTTTTCCTTCTTTATAAAGAAGTTTAATGGCGTCTCGCAGGCTTTTGATCGGTCCGCGCGGAAAACAAACACCGTCTTATGTGAGACTGAGATAAGAAAAACAAGTTAATTTTCTGATAAATTCGAATAGTTTGCCAGCCACAACCTTGACACTGCTAACGCGATATATTAATATTCGCGGATTCAAGTTTGCTCAAACGATATTAAACAAGGTTACTTCCTTGCATGTATTTGCTGGATTTCTGTTTCGAGAGCCGGAAACTCTCAAAGGAGACCCGCAAAAAAATATATGTGCTTCTGAGTAATATCAATTCCCCCAAATCAGTCTGTTTAAAACATTATTGGAGTGCGATTATATATTGTTATTGCGTATCAACGTGTGACATATTTATGAGAGGCTGGGTGATTTCTTCTCGTCGATTCTTTCTGTTTCCCTGGTTTATTCTATACTCCAAACAACGAGATACTCAGTAACAAAAAGTCAACTTCCTCTTGGTTTATAGAAGCAAAGAAAAAATAAAATAAAAACAGCAAGCTTTCAGCGAGGTTAAATTCCTACCAAAGTTTCTTGTATTCTGCCACGCGAATCACAACTCGGTCATTATCACGTGACTGAGAAACAATCGCTAAGACAAATTGTTTGTTCTGGAGCTTTATAACAATTTATTATATAGCTAAATCGGTGCGAGCGCCAATTTACTAGATCATCTATCGGCAGTCTGGTTTAATAAATTGGCCTTTTTTTCGCGTGACATTTTTGTGCTGTGTCTATATATTAAAATGTTTGACGTCAGCGAATTTTCGTTCTCGAGCGCAAGCGTATTGTGCGCGCAGTTCTGTTGTTACA